GGGCAAGTGATGAGCTGCAGCACAAAAGTCCCCTGGGTTGCTGAGTTTTACAGGAAGATTAGATTGGTCAGACATCCTGTCAAGTTTCCTTGTGTTCTTTGGGCTTTTTTCTTGCATTCTGCAAAATAAAAGCTGCCCAGTCTGATGTTCAAAGTTCCAGGTTCTGCATGTCTGGCTGTGACTCCCAGCTGATCTCCAGGGCATTGGGGAAAGGGAAGGGGACAGGGAGAGCTCAGGGATGCAAACCTGTTCCGTGTCTCTGACTAAGGTGCCGGCCTCCTGCAGGAGCAGCCAAGACAAGTGCTGGCAGCAGACATCTTCTGCCAGTTGCTGCTCTCGCACGGACACAGGGCACACATGTTGCCACAGGTGCAGAACACTTGATGCAAGAGCAATGGGGGCCGTGCACTGGCAGGGAATGGGCTCCAGCACGCCCAAAGTAGGATCCTTTAGCAGCAAAAGCTGAGCTTGTGAACTGGGCCATCTTTGCAGATGTTGGTGTGACTGGGGGAGACCCTGGGGCGAAAGGGCTGTGCTGTAATTTCCAGTCCCACTCCCAAAATTCCATAGGGATGAAGATTCCTCCCAGACGAAAGGTGCCAGGACAGAAAGCTCTTGCTACCCATGGAGTGCCCAGGCTGGCCCACGAAGTGCACCTGATACCTAAAGGTTCCAGACTTTCTTTCCTGGGGATAAGGGCTATTGTTTGCTTTTTTTCAGCCCTGTGCTGAAACTGCCAGTCCAACTCCCAAAATTCCATACAGACGATTGCTTTCAGTCCTACAAATCCTCTGTCTGTCTTTTCTCTCCTGGACCTGCAATCACAGAGGTCACAAACCACCTCCTGTGTGCTCTGAAGGTGCTGGTTTGGTGAGGGGCTCAGATCTATCCATCACTGTGTGTAAAACCCTGGAAAACAGAATGCAGAGCTTATTTTAATTTATTTATTTTTAAATTTTTTTTTCTTGAAATGCAAATTGGATGATCTGTGCCCCCATCCCCTCCCCAACAAAATATGGGGCTTTGACTCTTGGACTCAATGGTTTTAGAGGTCTTTTCCCACCTTAACAATTCTATGGTTTCAAGTGCATAATGATGACTGTCAGCTCTATAAAATGTTCTCTTACTGTTTCCTGCTGCCCCCATAATTTAAGGGCCCAGTTTTGTTCCCTAAAACTACAATGGTTGTGAGTGGATTATGCATTAGATGTGAATTGCAGACCAGCTTTCAGCAACAGAAAGGAGCTTCCAGGGATCATTCCTCACCTTGGGTACCTTTAGGATGTGTACCATTGCCCATTTTCCATATGGTGTCCCAGGGACCTGGATTATCTTTGGCTGGCTGGTACAGTCAGAAGTTGGGAGGCTCAGAGTCATCTATCAGTGCACCCAGATAAGACTTGTAAGACTGCAGTATATTTCTGAGTATTTGAGTTTATCTTCCTCTAGCTCCTGTGTGGTGAGCAGTAAAACTGGAATTATTCCATCGAATCTCCTTGTTCTTTTCTTTTTCTAGATTATGACCAGGTTTTTCCGTGTGTCTGTGGGTGCCTGGAGAAAAAGACAGGGGAAAGAAAAGAAAACCAGGTAGAACCTCAGTTTGTTAAAAATAATTAAAAAAAAGTGGTTCCTGTTTTCACTCCTTTTTAGTAGGACCCTGGAATCAAGCTGAAGTAAAATTACTAATTATAATAATTTAACCTGGACATTAAAAAGCTACATAAAGGCAGAATTTTCATTTGAAATAGAAATGTCAGGCAAATTTAACAATTATGTAATATGGAAGTGTCCAAGGCCAGGCTGGATGGGGCTTGGAGCAACCTGGGCTAGTGGAAGGTGTCCCTGCCCATGGATGAGCTTTGTGGTCCCTCCCACCCCAAACCATTCCTTGATTCTGTGATTCCATGTAATGTCTGTCTTGAGCAAATGGGAGTCCAGGCACAGACTGAGGAAGTCAGCTAATATGGGATTTTGGAAGGCTGGGCATATATTCTCAACCAAATATAGGCTGAAATTTTATTCCACTCCTTTATTCCTATAAGGACTCAGGAAAATCTGCAAGTGGTGCAAAGGACAATTTGACTGATTAGTGCTTTGACCTTGAAAAGCTGAGTTTTGAAAGGTGTGTCCCAAGAAGTCAATGCGTGTGCATGTACAAAACAGTCAGAAATGTAACCTTAACCTCAGCTTTGACTGTGGGTCATTATTTTAATGCACACAATAAATGAGAGGAGCTAGATTAGCACTGAGAGAGGCAATCCGGGTGAGCAGGAAGGAACAAACTGAATTAGTCTTTAGGAATTTGTCTTTTATGGGTAATGCCAGCTCATAATGCTGCTGTTAATGATGGCATTTTCATTTCTTTGAGGGGATCAGAGAGATGAAGGTGGGAATGATGCTGATGTCTAACAAGCCTGTGCTGAATACTGGGATATAGATGTTGTTGGAGAAATTCTCATTGTGCATTTATGTTGTTAAATTGGTCTTACAGTAAAAGAGAACTTACCCACTTCTGGAGATCATATCTGTCCTTAAAGCTAAAAGATATAACGTGACACCCTGCTGTCCCTCAGGGCTGCAAAGCATTTCAGCTGAAGAACCCTGATAATTAAGTCAGATGGCCCTGAAATGAAGTGCAGGGGAATTTTGCTTTCAAGGCTCTGTTATTAGTCAGCCCCTGCTCTGCATGAACT